CGGGCGCCGGCTACTCACTGGAAGGCTACGGCGCTTGCCTCTAGGACCAATGACCGGCGTAAGACCAAGCGGCCGGAGGCAGCGCCGCGAAGCCGGAAGTGGCGCCATTTCCGGTAGGGGCCGCCATCTCGCCGTGAGACAGCAGGATCGGAGCAGCGGGATGTTGTCCTCGGTAGCAGCGTACTCGGACCCGGGCAGAGACCCGGCCATGGAGCCTCACAGCGCCGCGGGCCCTTTGCAGCTGCGCTTTTCGCCCTACGCTTTCAACGGAGGGTAAAGCCCGGAGAGCCGCCGCTTCCTCCTTCTCCCCCCATGTCCCTGCCTAAGGCTGTCGGTATGGCTACCCGGCTTTGCCCCGCCAGCCGCACGCCTCCCTCTCCGTGGTTGCTCGGTTCGATCTTGTTCCTCAGGGCTTCACCTTACAGGCCGGTCACTGGGTCTCGATGTGGACGGGCAGGTTTGCGTGGACAGGAGGTAGAAATTGATATCTGGGCTCTGCTCTGGAAGAGCTTTAAAAATGGACCTAACCTTTCCTTACTATCTGAACGTGTTTCTCGCGCCAGCAGGCAAGGGGCAGGTTGAGCATCTGGGATGAAGAGTGAGGATTGATTGGTCGTGTCGTTAGATGTAGTTGTGTCTGTAGCTAAATGTAACTACTTTATCATTTTCTGTTATTTTAAATAGCGGGTAGGGTTAGTCGGCCAGACTTAGTTTCATACATAAGTGTTTATTTTTAAGGGTTAGCGTTAAGGAAAAACTCACAAGGGGGACCTTTGAATTTGTATTCTTGCATTCAAGTTGTCTTTTTTTTTTTAAGTTACCATCTTTATCTTAAATAATACTTTTCCTTGATAGTACACTAAAAGAATCAGGGTTGTGGAAAAACACTCTGTTTAGGACTCCTAACAATGAAGAGCTGTATATTTAAGCACTGATTATAGTTTACCGACCAAATTTTGTACTTTAAAATATCCCCACCCAATTGGAACAAACAGATGGTCTTTTAAGGCAACCAGGTTAATAATTAATCAGGTCCTTATGGATTTGAAATTTTAATGCAGATTTTCGCGGTATGTTGCAAACAGGGTGGAAGGCTATGATTTTAGCCTTGTTTCTGCCACTAAAGAGCATTGTGGTCTTTGGGTACCCCTCAACTTCTTGAACCCAGATTTACTTATCTTTCTTAGCTACTCATTTTGGCGAGGGGAGAATCAAAAGAGAAGCATTTTGTAAATTGAAAGCAGTTATCTTTTTTAATCCTCATGATGACTGTTAGATGTTATATGCCTCCATTTTACAAATGAGCCTGGGCCCTTAGAAGTTAAATTTTTTTAGTCACAGAGGTGGTGTGCAGTTGAGCCGCAGGATTCGAATCCATAGCTGTGTTGCCATGGAGTTTATGTATGCTTTTATTATTGCACTTCTAAATATTTCCTGTGACAACTAATGAAGTAATTATACCACAAAATATGTTAATAGACCCATTTCATGAGGCAGTTGCAGATTCTATATGACTTATAAGGTATTCAGTGTTCATTACTCACTTTTTAACCTTTGTAATCCAGTTACTGCCCTAAAGTTAGTTGCTATGGCTTTCTCATTATTGAATTACCTTTTCTCAGTCTTCTTTCTTTTTCTTTAGTATTTACTCCTGCTGGCTCTTGGGCAGCCTTTGCTTCTACAAAATAAGACTTAGTCCTATGTCTTTTTCTATTCTGACTAAATGTGGTTAAACCCCAATTGATTAGCCTTCACATTTGTCACTGAGTACTCTCACGTGTTTCATTTATGGGAAGATATTCCCAGATCTGTTTCTCCAGTTCTACCTTTCATGAGCCCCTCGATTCTGGCTTCTTAAATTCAACTTTCCACCTATGTTCTCGGCCCTCACCACTTAAGATATTAAAGATATTAAGATATTAAAACAAACTTAAGATATTAAAACAAAAAGCAAGGCTTCCCTGGTGGCGCAGTGGTTGAGGGTCCGCCTGCCGATGCAGGGGGCGCGGGTTCGTGCCCCGGTGCAGGAGGATCCCACGTGCCACGGAGCGGCTGGGCCCATGAGCCATGGCCGCTGGGCCTGCGCGTCCGGAGCCTGTGCTCCGCAACGGGAGAGGCCACGGCAGTGAGAGGCCCGCGTACCGCCAAAAAAAAAAAAAAAAAAAAGCCAACTAATTATTCCTCTCAATCACTTCTCATTTACACTGCTTATGATTAGGCCATCATGCTGCTTGTCACAGTTTAAAATCTTGGATGTCAAAATTGGCTCTTCCAGCTTCTAACACATTTGGTAGTTACAAAAACCTATACAGTTCGTGTGTTTATGTTTTTTGCATTTACCTGTTTATTCCTGTTCACGTTGCTGCCTTCCTACTGCATTAGTCTTATTGAAAGAGTTTCCATCTTAGTTTCACGTATAGTGTTATTGTCACAGTAGTCTTCTTAAAACTCCACTTTGCAAAAGGAACTTTTCTCATCCTGCGCGTATAACCTTTGCTTCCTCACAAAAATTCCTAGATTTGTGCTTTTCCATGTGAGATTTTCTGCTGTTGGATCTGTCCATCACATAAGCCTTATGCCACTCCACTTGTATACACAAAAAGGGACACCTGAATAAGTTGTTTGAATGTTTTATTTGAATTATACCAGTTTTCCTTTATTCAGTGTTCATGTTATGTGCAATACCATCCTTTTCTACTTCAGAGTTTTAGTGCCATCCCACCTCGGTAAGAATAATGGCCTAAGTTTTCTGAGCGCTTATGTTCTGTGAGGCACAGTGCAGGTGTTTTATGTGGGTCATGCCGTCTAATTTTCACAGCCACCCTTTAACACAGCAGCTGCTGGTATCATCAACTTGAACTTGGATGATCTGTCCAAGGTCACAGAGCTGTTAAGTGGCAGGGACAGGTTTCGGGTAACTCCAGAGCCCAGGTTCTCAGTGATCATACTCTGCTGCCTCATGCTTACGCCACAAAGATCATAGCTAACACTTTACTGGAGGACCAGTTATGTGTCAGGCACTGGTATGAGAGGTTAACAATTATTAACTCATTTAATCCTCTAACACCCAAATAAGGGAGCTACTGTTATGATCTCTGATATGCATATGAGGACATTGAGGCCTTGAGAAGTTAAGCAACTTACCCACCATCTCATTACCTGCTAAGCAGGAGAGCCAGACTTAGAACCCAGACGGTCTGCTTTTAGGGCTCATGCTCTAGACCTCCACTAAACTGCTAGCATGAGCCACACAGCCACAAAGGGAAAAGTTTGTTCTTTGTTGGTCCATTTTCCAACAGATATTTGGGTGTCTTCCTGAGTGCAAGACATAATATAAAGACTTGGATATAAAGAAATGAAAAACATTAAGCCTTTGGACTTCCCTGGAGGTCCAGTGGTTAAGACTGTGCACTTCCAATGCAGGGGGCAGGGGTTCCATCCCTGGTGAGGGAACTAAGATCCCACATGCCACTTGGCGTGGCCCAAAAATAAAAAATACAAAAATAATTTTACGGGGGTGGGCG